GTTCTTCTTTGATATCATGGAAATCAAAGAAGCAGGATGTGGTCAGCTCAAGTAGTACAGAAGCTGAGTATATAAGTATGGCACAAACCACAAAGGAGTTGTTATGGTTCAATCAGATGCTGAAGGATCTTTATATCACTCAAGATTCACCAGTCAAGCTTTATTGTGACAACAAGTCAGCTGTATACATTGCCACAAACCCAGTTTTCCATGAAAGAACAAAGCATGTGGAAATTGACTGTCATACGACAAGGGATCAGATCAAGAATGGGTTCTTGAAGCTCTTCCATGTGTCTTCTTGCAATCAACTGGCGGATATACTCACCAAACCATTACAGCCGGGTCCTTTTCATAATCTACTTGGTCGTATGTCGATTTCAAACCTTTATACTCCTAAAGATCGTTCGGTTTGAGGGGGGTATATTAACATATAATGTTTATATTGTATACTTAGAATAGGATAAGGTTTCCTTTAGCTTATTCCTACTCTTAATATACATGTACATATAAATACTCTTGTACAGTCTTATGATTCATTAATGAGAATTCTATTCTTTCATATCAAAGTGTTAATATTCTTCTAGTGTTTCTTGTGTACGGAAGACAGCAGCATTGTTTTGCATTACTCTTTGCATGTTTAAGCGTATTTTAGAAGTTGGAAGCGAACCATTAGAGTTTCTTATCCGGTCCAACCATTCGATACTCTTCGCACCCGCATCCTTCTCTAGAGGTTTCAGTTTCTCGCCTACATAACCAAAACAAATTTCCAGAAGCTCTCACATGTATCAAACTTGAAGAGATGGAAATATATGTATTACTTACCAGGTTTTTGAATCTCTGCAACTCTGTTTGCACAAGCTCTCCCAAAAACAACAATGTCAAGAAGTGAATTTGCGCCAAGTCTATTAGCGCCATGAACCGATGCACACGCTGCTTCTCCTGCAGCCATTAGTCCAGGAACTATAGCATCTGGATCATCACCTCTAACTGTAACAACCTGAGAGACTCACATGAATGTCCCAAAAACTTATTCAAGTACTGAAAACATATACATTTGTTCCAACACTAAAATTGGTTTGATCTTCTCATTTACCTCTCCATGGTAGTTTGTGGGAATACCACCCATATTATAATGCACAGTAGGCAATACAGGAATTGGCTCTCTTGTAACATCTACACCCGCGAAAATAGCCGCAGTCTCAGATATGCCAGGAAGCCTCTCTTTAAGCACCTCTGGTGGTAGATGATTTAGGTGAAGGTATATATGATCCTTCATAGGTCCTGTTAAAGAAAAATGTTGCATATGCTCTCAAGCTAATTTCTTATATATGATGAGTCTCAAAGGAGTGATATTTTACCTGCACCACGTCCTTCTCTGATTTCCATAGTCATTGATCTTGAAACAACATCTCTTGAAGCAAGGTCTCTAGCTGTAGGAGCATATCGGTCCATGAATTTCTCACCTTCACTGTTTCTGAGAATCCCACCTTCACCTCGAGCTCCTACAATATATGTTCATATCTGACAAATTTAACATCAATATCTTTTGTCTTATTCCTATGCAGGAAGAAACACATACCTTCTGTGATTAGACATCCGGCTCCATATATACCAGTAGGGTGAAACTGAACAAACTCCAAGTCCTGCAGCGGTAGCCCGGCCCGTGCAACCATAGCATTGCCATCTCCTGTACATGTATGTGCTGAAGTTGCAGAGAAATAAGCTCTTCCATAGCCCTAAAGTCTAAGTGATTAGTATGTTTCATAAATCCAAAAAAAATAAAAACATTTCAAGAAACAATTTTGTTACCCCGGTAGCCAAAATTGTAGAACCAGCATGGAAACGATGTAATGTTCCATCTTCCATGTTCAGTGCAATGACTCCTTGACATGTTCCTACTCATCATATACACCAAAAGCATTTATAAGTTGTATAGTATATCACTAATGCAACATCATGTTATCATACATACTCATAACAAACCTTTCTCAGTACTTACCATCATTGTTCATTATTAAATCCAAGGCAAAGTACTCCACAAAGAATTGAGTGTTGTGTTTCATTGCTTGGCCATAAAGAGTATACAACAGAGCATGCCCAGTGCGGTCAGCAGCACATGCGCAACGATATGCTTGGCCACCTGAATAAATCAGAGAGGTAACGGAACAATGATGAAAAGGTTGCAAGCAAACAATCTTCCACAAGAACTTGAGACTCAAAAAATCATGATTAAAACCTTTTCCAAAATCAAGACTCTGGCCACCGAAAGCTCGTTGATATATTTTCCCATCTTCTGTTCTAGAAAATGGCAATCCATAATTCTCAAGTTCAATCACAGCTTTTGGAGCTTCCCTGCACATATACTGAATTGCATCTTGATCACCTACACAACCAAAACCACAAAGCAATTTTACTTGTGTATACAGAAGTGAAAGAAGTCATTAAAATATTACATTGCACATCAACATGTTACATCACTATAGAAATCATCATCGTACCTAACCAATCACTTCCTTTAACAGTATCATACATATGCCATCTCCAATCATCTTCAGTCATATTACCCAATGCAGCATTAACACCTCCCTTCAACAAAAACGTTCATAACTTAATTCAACAAACAAAGCAAGCTTGAATTAATTTAATAACCAGATTAAGCAAAAACGTATAAGTAACCTGAGCTGCAACTGTATGAGAACGAGTTGGAAAAAGCTTAGTGATACAAGCTGTGTTAAAACCATGTTCTGATACTCATATGGCTGCTCTAAGCCCAGCACCACCAGCTCCTACAACAACCGCATCGTACGTATGATCAACGATTCTATACGATGTTCCATCCCCTGTCTTTCAGTCACAAAGAACACAAACAGTTTGAATCAGAATTGGTTAATGTGACATCTCAAAAAAAACAAAATTATTACATTTGCAACTCAAAGACATGTTCTAATCAGACATTTACACAGTAGATCCGAACAAAGCAACCAATTGAATGATTAGAAACACCAAATAAGAAACAAAATCGAGGATTCTCGTACCGAAGGAGCTGAGAAGAATCTGGAGAGTTGAGAATTGATGAAACCGCCTTTAGATTCCGATCTCCTCGCCGCAACTCGAAGGCACCGCCACATCTCTCCGTCACTACTAAACTCACCACGAACTCGTCTACCCAAAATGGAAGACTCGTTTTATATAAACTGGCTTAAGAATTTGAAAAAATGTTTTCAAACTCATCGTGCCAAATTGGCTATAAAAGAATTTGAAAATGTTGACAAAATTACACCTAGACCAGAGGAAGTCTCTCAACGTGCCATCAGTAATACCAACGGTCAACGAAACGCCATATCGGCGAATACGGGCTTTTAAAGGCTCAGTAACAAGGTAAAATGGGCTTTATAAGGCCCATAATGTTGCAAAGTCAGAATAGTTCGGTACGCATTAACTTTGGCCAAGGCAGTTCCGTTGCTCTGCTCACGGACGCCGGAGAAGAGACATCGGAGATCGACGAATCCATTCATATATATATAATAGAGAGAGAGAGAGATGGAACCGAGGGAGAGAGATCTAGAGCGATTGATCCCGATGCATAAATCAGCAGCTTCACCACGCGACGTCGTTTTATCTGTTCCGCCGTCTCCTCTCGCTTCTCCGATTCACGTTGCCGGAAAAGAGGTTTCTCTCTCGCTCCCCTGTTTCATCTCTCATATTATTACAGAGTATTTATCTAATTATTCGTTTTTTTTGTTTTTTTTTAACATCTGGATTCAAAGATTGTGAAATGTGTTCTGCAAGTTTTTTTTGACCTAGTGCTTTAAAGTTACTTGTATGTTAAGTTATTCTATGTTAACAGGCGATTTACAAAGTCATCAGAAGCTGGGCCTCCAAAAAGTTCATGACCGGATGGTGAAAATCTCTTATCTGTTTCTTTCTGACTTATAATTTACTCTCAAAAGGTTTTTGAAACACACGTTAAGATCTCTTGTGTGTACAGTGTCATATTGCTACCAATCGCTGTCACATTCTACTTCACATGGTGGTTTATTCATTTCGTCGACGGGTTCTTCTCACCGATCTATACACATCTCGGAATCAATATGTTCGGTTAGTTTCATTTTGCATCTCTCATCTAAGTTGCATTGCTTGTTTCTTATGTCTAACGAAGAAATTGCAGGTCTTGGATTTGTGACATCCATCACATTCATCTTTATTGTTGGTGTATTCATGTCTTCATGGCTTGGAGCTTCAGTTCTCAGTATCGGAGAATGGTTTATCAAGAAAATGCCTCTCATAAGCTACATTTACTCGGCTTCTAAGCAAATTAGTGGAGCCATCTCGCCAGGTTAAAACTCACAAGAAACCAAAAATATCTTACTTGCTAACAAGTATCAAAAAGGTTAACCTTACCCTTTAATCTCCTTTGATCAGATCAAAGCTCAGGTGCATTCAAGGAGGTAGCCATTATCAGACATCCACATATGGGAGAATATGCTTTTGGTTTCATTACATCAACTGTGATTCTTAGAGGTCGTGCTGGTGGAGAAGAACTATGTTGTGTTTATGTTCCCACCAACCATCTTTATCTTGGAGATATTTTCCTTATTAGCTCAAAGGACATCATAAGACCTAATCTCTCAGTCCGGGAAGGCATAGGTAGTTTTGTGACTTGATCTAGTAACTCTCTTCAAACGTTCTGGAGCTGTAACAAACCGATCTCATTGCTCAAATTTAATCTTCTTTTGTTTTCCAACAGAAATCGTTATCTCGGGTGGTATGTCGATCCCACAGATGCTAACAACGCTGGACTCAGAGATCACTCACAGGTCGGTAGTTGGAACCTTTGCCATGCCACCTGTGTGAAGTTTGATGAATCATAGTTTTATCCAGAAGCTTAAACGGAGCTTGCTGGTTAGGTTACTGCAACATTTGCTAAACCAAGAATGTTGGAAAGTTTTGGAATCATAATGATATATAAGTGAAAGATTTAGAGTTTGGATATGTGTTGTTTAAGCCTAGTTTTAACTTAGACACGCAGTATAAAGAAGTTTTATTTGAATTCTTTTTCGTGTACAAAATAAAATTGCTTCAAGAGAGTTTTGTATACACAGACGTATTCAAGTTATTGTCTTTCACATCAGTGTGTTTCAGTCAGAAGTTTTATGAAAAACTCAAACTATGCGCAAAAACATAAATCTTTCTCATAGTATATTGTTTCTATTGTCAAATGCTGGAAAAGAATGAGAGAGACACAATGGTGTATAACTGGTGGATTCTCTGGAAATCCTTTGAGAAGCAAAATCTTATCAACTAATGCTACAATGGTGCATCATCAATGCCTATGTGTAAAGTCAAGAAAGTGCAGAACATAGCGACTTGTATGCATCAACGCAGAGTTTAAACTTCTCTTGCGCTGCAGCCTGCGATTATCAAAACACAATTTATCAACACATAAACTTCATACAAAAACTGAGACAATCCAATCTTTGTTTAAAATCATACCTGAGAAGGCCCCTGGTGCTTATCCGGATGCCACTTCAAAGCCGAAGACCGGAAGCTGTAAAACAGGAAAAGCTTTGAGGAACACTTATTTTAGATTTTGGGCAGCATCGGAAGCAATTGAAAGACTTACGCATTCTTAACATCATCAATTTTGAGGGGACCATCTAGAGGCAATCCAAGAACAGTCCTTTCAGACCGAGACCCAACATTCAAAGGTTCATCAAGAGACTCATTATTCCAACTTTTGCTCCTTTGAGATTGACTGGTCCAGCTCCAGCCTTCTCTCCATTCAAATCCTGATGTCGAGTCTCTCGAATTTGAGGTATTCTGAGATTGACTTGTCCACTTTTCTCTCCATTTGTTCTCGAAAGCATTATTAGCTTCAGTGCCAAATTCATCGTCAGGATTTCCTTCTCTGTGCCATCCTGATTTACAATTAAACAAAAGGATACAGCAAAAAAGAGAGCCAAGAGTTGTATGGTACTAAGAAAAAGAAAAGAAAGCCACTCACTTTTTGTTTTCTTATCCCGAGGCTTCTTGCCCCGGCCAGGTGGAGGTTTTTTCTTCATATGCCTTTCCCGGATAAGCGGATTTGGCCCGAAATGCCACTCATTCTACGTATATGAAAAGAAGTACAATGTAAAACACTTGAGCAAACACATTAAAAAGAAAAAGAAAACCAGAACTCTATGTAAGAACAAAGTTTATAAAAATCAAAATCCATGAAACTACAGCATGACGAATATACCTGAAGTGGATCATTAATTCCTCTGTGGAAGAGGAGTTTGTCTACAGTCTTTTTAGCGCTAGTGCGTCCCTTCTCCTTTACAGTACATGTGAATCTTATGGAGGAGTTCTGGGATCAACATTTGCAGCTTCAGAGGAGAACTAACTCTCTTATGAGTTTGAATAGATACACAAATAAATGACCACACACACACAAACACGCACACCAAAGATATCAATTTCTTGACAAGACAAGCACAGGTTTAAAACAAGAACTTAACAACATAGATTGCATTTCTATTAACAACCAATCCTTCCAAATTCATCAAGAAACATTCATTTTCCTCATATGAAAGTACAAAAATTTGCAAAACCAATTTGGTTGTAATGTGAGCTACATGACCCAATCATGTGATCCTCTTTTGACTAAAAGCAACCCAAACTTGTGGAAACTCTCAGATTTGGTAACAATTTCGATCTGATAACACAAAACCCATATCACAATTCCTATTCTTGATACCAATTCAATCAAAGTTTCAGCTTTTACATTGCTCATTAAAAATTATACCTTTGAAGATCGTTCACCTTCAGAATCCCTACCCTGCGATCAAAAATTAATCCAAGAGCATCAAAACATCTAACTACAGGTGCTCAAAGATTCAATGATGAAGCTAATCTTTATAGAGAAGGATCTTACGGAACCAGAGTTATTCCTCGATTTCTCAGACAGAACACTCGTCGAATGAAATGGAGCGAAACGAATTGCTTCTGTGGCATTTGGTAATGACAATTCTACAATCCCAGAACTTTTCAGCGACAAGATGCTTCTCAATCTAAACATAGTTGGATTCCACATAAAGTAAAAATGAAAACTTTCGAGAAATTGAGAATACAATAAACAAATTCAAAGGTTTAAAATTTCATTGACGCGAAATGAGAGATTTGAGGAAGAAATGGGAGGAGAAGACGACTGAGAAGTGAGAGAACAGGTTAAAAGAAACAGAGACCGTGAGGGTTTTTTAACCAGACCGGTTTAATTGCGTCCTGGTTTAAGTTCGGTTTAACTTGGTAGATTACGGAAACAGAGCATGAAGCCAAAGTTAAAAAAGTTTGTCACTTTGATTATGAATGTAAGAGATACAAATCCAAAATCAAACAATAGTAGTTTCATGTTTGAATCAATCATACACATACGTAACGATCTAAACATAACACAACTTAGTCGAAAAAGTATAAAAAAAATCCAATCTCAATGACATTGCTTTTTAGCTTACATTGGTTCTACTCTCAGAACCCCCCAAAAATCTCTTCTTTTAATCATTCATTGATCTCTCTCATTGATGAGGAGCAGGGCTTTTAGTTCCCATCTCTCTGGAATCATGACTAGGTGTTCCTTCACAGTCACTGATTGGGAACTCTGTGCTCGACAAAGCTATCTGTCTGAACTTCTTCATGTCTGCGTTGTAAGATGTCTGACTATAATCTGAGCTTGCTCCCGATGACCCGTAAATGTTACTCTGTCCTGGCTTCACACCTTCGTTTAAAGCATCCAGTGACACTTCTCCTTCTAATGCTCTTACTATCTGCAAACCAAAACATCTTTTGTTACTTATTATCTGACAAATACTCAAAAATTTGGGTTACATAAGTTTGATTGACCTGGCTCATCTTTGGACGTTTACGCCCCGAATAGCGAATGCTAGCAGCGGCACAAGTCACCATTCGAGCCATTTCTTGCGGGTTGTAGTTGCCTTCAAGCCTTGCATCTGCGAGCTCATTAAAGTTTCCATCTTCTAGCGAGCTAGCCATAAGAGGCCGAGCCTGTATTTATAATCCAAAAGCAATCATCAGTGCCAAAAAAAAGGCGAAAACATACACAATTCTTGTATAACAAGAAACATATATTAGCATATACCCAATCTACTAAGGTGTCGTCCATAGTGCTGGTATTATCAACCGGTCGTTTTCCAGTTATGAGTTCGAGTAACATGACACCGTAAGAGAAAACATCGGATTTCTCTGTTAATTTACCGCTAGATGCATACTCTGGAGCAAGATATCTACACATGTTTGTGCAGAGAAGTAAATTAGATCAGTACAAAGGTTCTGTTTCTTGATTGGCGCGAATAGTATCTTATGGTAGGGTAAAACGCTTACCCGAAAGTTCCCATCACACGAGTAGAGACATGAGTGTAGTTATCAGAAGTTAACTTAGCTAATCCGAAGTCAGCCACCTGAATAAACAAATGTCATAAGTCATGCATCATCAGCTTTTAGCACAAAAACCAAAGTGGAATGCGGCTACTAGTTTATCACCATTGCATCAAAGTTGAAATCCAAGAGAATGTTTGCAGACTTGATGTCGCGATGAATGATCCGAGGATGGCCTGTGTCGTTTCCTCAGCCAAGAAAGAAATCACTTGTCAGAGACAAAGCTTTCTTTGTTTTATGCAACAATGGTGTTAAGAAAATGAGACTGGTGAATGTTTGAAACTTACAGTCTTCATGAAGGTAAGCGAGTCCTTTCGCAGCACCTAATGCGATACGCATCCTGGTGGAGAAATCCATTACCGGAAGATTTTTCCCTGAACCAACAACAACAGGAACAAATGTTACAATTTTCTTGAAACTGTAGAGTAGGCTAAATTGTTTTTAAGTGGTCTAGTTACCATGAAGATGATATTCCAAAGTATTGTTAGGAACAAACTCATAAACCAACATCCTCTGTCCATCAGCTATGCAATATCCAACCAAAGAAACAAGATACCGATGATGCACACGGCTAATGATATCAACCTCAGCTTGAAACTCCCTCTCTCCTTGTCCACTACCCGATTTCAAACTCTTAACCGCGACTTCTTTCCCGCTAGGCAACACACCTTTATGAACATACCCGAATCCTCCCTGCCCCAAAAGGTTGCCATCCGCAAACCCTCCCGTTGCAGCCGCAAGCTCTTGGTAAGTAAAAGTGCTCTTGTTAAATCCAAGGGCTAAAGCAGGCGAAGGAGGAGGCAAAACCGGGCGTGCTGGTCCAGAGTACAATTCAGAATCATCTACACTTGTAGGCATCCGCGGTGGAGGAGGAGGCGGTGATGGTCCACCGCCTCCCCAACCACCAGGAGGGTATTGGTTTTGGCCTTGTGGATTTAGGTTCCAATTTGGATAATTGTGGGAAGCATTATTGTTGTTGTTTCCATAGTATTGATACTGATTTCCTGAACCAATATGAAGAAACCTAAGCTTTTTGATATGTGTTGAAACATATGTGTGTGTAAGTTTATACCTTTCATGGGTTCAGGATAGTAAGAATCTTTTCTCTTCTTTTTGCGTCTAAGACAAACAATGATAAGCACAATCATCAAAAGTCCAGCTCCAACTAATACACCTACTATGATCCCAATATTCGTATTACTTCCTCCTCCTCCTCCTCCTCCACCGCTGCTGCCTCCGCTAGAAGGAGGATTATCCGAGGGAGAGCCGCCATTGCCTCCTGATGGTGTTGATCTGCTTCCACCGTTATCTCCATTACTCCTAGAAGGAGGAGAAGGAGGAGAGCCGCGTGACGGTGGAGGCTCGTTTCCACCGCCATTCCCTCTTTGTGACGGTGGTGGAGGAGAATTATTAGAGGAATTAGGAGGAGAAGGAGCTTGTGGAGCTGGTGGAGATGTTGAACCAGGAGGTGGCGATGATGATGAGTCTCCTTGAGAAGGAGAAGGAGGAGAAGGAGCAGGGGGAGAAGAGGAGGTTGAATTGGTATTAGACGACGGTGGAGATGGAGAAGAGGTAGAGTTTGACGGAGGAGGAGCAGATGCAGGAGAAGAAGCCATCAGAGATCAAAATTCTCCGGTAACCAAAAAGAAAAAACTCTCCGTCCGTCTTCTCTCCCTTAACCACTCAAATGATTCTGAAAAGAACAAAAACGTAATAAAAAAACAGAACAGATCATGATCAAAATGGTGTTAATTTGGGCATAACCTCTTTTGTCTTATTATGTTCTCGTTAGATCTTCAACAAAACAGGTGAAAAAAATGCTAAATATGAAAGATTAGTTAAAGAGATTAGCATGTAAGTGTGTACCTTAGATGAAGAGATTAAGGGGGAGAGGAGTTGTTTTTGGGTAAATTGGTGAGAAAAATGATAATAGGAAGGAGGTGAGATTTTGAGATTTGCTCTGTCTTCATTCCGAGAAACATGCCTCTTCTTTATCTCTAATGTCTGTCGTAATAACAGTTTTGTGTTTTAGTTACTATAATAATTGTAATAATCTCCGGTCTAATTTTTCTCTTTTTGGCTCCGTGATATTAGGAGAAGTAAGGTTTGTTTGTTGATTCATTTCCACGTAAGTGGTAGTAAGTTAGTAACCGCATGCATTCTTAATTATTCTTACCCTTTTTGTTAGGTAAATCTCTGGTTTAATCTTGTCCATCGGATCATGTTACTCATCTCAGATCCTTCCACGCGGTTTTGATCATAATGCTAGAAAAAGAAGTGTAGCTGCAAACTACTGTATTTATTTTTGAACATTTATATTGGTGTGGGTATAACTAGAGGCGGTTTAGTGTGTTATTACAAAGACTAGGGTACAACATGTTGAGCTAAATCTTGGTTCTATGTATAATGAGAAATTAAAAGACTATAAGAGATCATATGTTGCATTCATGTCCCTTTGGTTACGTATAAAAAAGACCACATCTCGTATTCTAGAGTTTATTCTAGAGTTTGATCCTTAATTAAAGCCATTGATGAAGTTGCATCCCATGATTTCATTTGTTAAGAGTCTTTATACGATAAACAAGACAATCAAAAACATAATATTTATAGAGCTCGCGCTTAATATTTTCTTTAGAGAAATCCAACAAAAAGAGATTTATAAGTATGTATATAAGTTTGTCAATGTAATCAATTTTTTTTTTGTCTACGTATGCAACTATACTTCTGCATAACCTTCATAGTCCCCTAAATTTTCTATTTTGTTATTATATTAAGATATCATGAAATTTTTTGTATATGCTTCAAGAAACAAGAATCCTCGTCGGTCATGGTCGGTTGCTCCCATATCTTTGGGACACGCCAGTGTCCGACAGTGTATCCCACACCTGCACATATATACGTTAGGTTCCTAAAAAAAACATACATGTATTTCTTGTATAATCAAAATGCCTACTACTCACTTTTAGATTCCCCTCTGAGCCACCAATAGCGAGCAAGAAGGGGCAGTCCGCAGAGAATGATACGGAGAACACTTTTCCCTGATTGATGTCAAAGTTTGGAATGGTGAACAAAAGAAACCAAAGTTTGAAAGATACTTATTAATGAATAGCTCTTACCGCATCTGGCATGTGTGTAGCAATCCATGATGGTTGATTATTTGAAAGATCCCAAATTTTCACACTTCCATCCTCAGATCCTGTAGCCAAAAGCTGTACATATCGAAGAATGGCTTAAAGCTAAACCACTGCATTATAAATATATGCTAGCTTGGACTCAAGAGAGAAAAAGAGAAGCATGTATGTACGTACATTGGGCGCATGTATGTTGTATGATATGGAGGAGACTTCATTATCATGAGCATGGAGAGTAAAATTTGGTGATAGATGAGAAGCACGTATATCAAAGCCTTTCACAGTTCCATCTTTGAGACTTGCCTAACATGGAAAAAGAAAAAGATAATGAGTCACATCAATTATCTCAGCTATTCACATGTCTATTAGAAGAGCAAAGAAAGCGTAATGCACCACAAAGGAGTGTTCACTGTGAGGATCCCAGGCCAAGCTTTCAACTTTGCCCTTGGTAGACCATTTCAAACCTGAGTGTGAAGGGTCCCTTCCATCTTTCTGAAACATATATACATATAGATAGAAGAAAAAAAAACACAAATCAACATAATGATAAAGCTGGTTAATGTAGAAGACTCCAGTCACATGAATGGAACAAAACAGTCACCAATACAACGGTGCGATCACGAGACCCACTGAGGAGTACTTCTGGAGCATAATGATTCCATGCGACCGCGTGAACCTGTTAGTTAACCAGTACACACAAAATAAACAATGAGCATGCCACATATGCTTGAGAGAGCATAGAAACAGTTTTTATCCTCATACCTTGTTTTTATGATGCTCCATAGTGACCTTGCACTTCCCTGTAGCCACATCCCAAACCTTAACTTTTTTGTCAGCACTGGCACTAGCAACTATATTCCTATTGTTCCAGTAAAAAGTAAAAAATGAGAGCAAATATTGGACAGAAATTTTCAATCATGGAACCATCAGAGAGCTTAAGTTAAACATTTCTACCTAAACTCCTTGTTCCAAGCAAGATCAATCACTGGTTCAGAGTGGGAATCTTGTGATGTCTAGAGTGAGAGAAATTAAGACAAATAACTAAGTTACAACATGACACATTCTAGATAAACAGAGGAGTTAGATAATTTGCAAAAATTGGGTTTCAAACCTCTCCACCTATTCGTCCGAGTCGTACACAAGGTAGCACCTCTTTTACCTGATCGAGCATTGTATAGTCATATTAGTTAATGATAGATAAAAAAAGAAACATTATAAATATCATTAAAAGCCAGTTTACAGTTACATACAAGATCAAGATCCCATATCTCTATTGAGGTCTCCATAGACCCAATAGCTACAAAGTTCCCTGCCAACACCAAAGAAAAATGATAATCTCATCCATACCAAAAAAAAAGAAGAAGAGCCGCGGCTTGGATCCACACACTAACCTTTTTCCCTTCCTTTGAGAGGACAATCAAGCCATGCCGTGCACAGTGGTTCCTCAGGTATAATTATGTCATTACGAAGATACAAGTTGTGAGTGCCATTCCCGGTGTCCTCGTATACGTAGACCTCAAGATTGTTGGTTTTATCTCTACTAGTAGCGCAGATGATCAGTGAATCAGTTGGCCTAATTGTCATATCATCAAGATCCTCGGAGTCATACTTATCCTAACGTATACCAACATGATATAATCAGCTGAGTTAGAGGGTTAAAAGGTTTATTAATTAGTATATTTTACTAAGGTTGCAATACAAACAATTGTGAGAGTATCCTCAAGGTAGATTTAGTAAGTATGATAAGAAAACTAATACCTCGGTATTATTTAGGTATGGATCCATCTCATTGCTTGGATAATAAAGGTCTCCTTGTCCAGAGCTAAACAGTTCAATTTCTGAGTCCAACACAAGAATGAAGTAAAACTGTATATTAACATATGTAATATATACAAGAATGATACTATGTAGGAAATAGAAAGAGCTGAGATATATATACCATCATCTTCTTCGTCATAGTTATCCATGTCGAGTTCTTTCAAGAAGTTGACTACGTTATCAGGATCTGCTGAAGTAGACGAAGAAGAAGAAGCATCCTTGCTTTCGGAACATGGTTTGCCAAAAGATTTTGCTACAGCCTTGGCATGAGCAACTTCACAATTCTTTATCTCATCGTCCATATCCATGTCACTGAGACTGTATCCGATGTAAATGTAATCAGTGGGTGTCTGGGTGAGCTTTTCACCTTTTTTTTTTAAGAGAAACAAGAACAGACTTAATAAGAATTTTCTCACCTTTTCTTGAAAGTGCCATTATGAATGAGCTCTTTGATATCCTCCTTAGAAGGAGACTGAGCCTCATAAGGCATGGCCTTTGATGCCCCTTTTGGTATCCATGAAAGTGAAGTTATCATTCTTTGTTACAAAAAAAAAAGTTATCATTCTACAAAATCAAATCAGAAGAGAGAGCGAGAGAGATATTAAGAAACCATTAGTAGCCAATGTCTCTGTCTTGTTGGAAGAAGAAATTAAACTTACTGCTATGACTGTCAGAGAAAGAAGAAGAAGACTTGGGGAGGAAACAAACCGTTCTTTCTGCTTCGATCTCTCGTTTTAGCTTATTAGAGAAACAATAGTAACATTGAGCCATAAGCTCCACAAAAAAAAAAAGGAAAACAAAAGTAGCCCTAGGGTTTCGGACTCATGTCAAGATGGGCTTTTCATTTGTTTATCCACTAATTAATCTGATTTTACTATGGTACTACTAAATTTTTTAAAGTCCATTAATATTTAATATTTAGTTAAAAAAAAAAATTTCATCAATATTTTAACGTTTTCCCTATAAAATTTCAAAGTATAAAATTTCCGTTTTGAAGAAAAAAGGAAAATAAGAAAGAAAAGGAAATAACTAATAAGAATGAAAAAAATGTAAATTATTTTTCTTTATAGGGTCGCTTAAATCATTCTCAACTTAAAAGAAGAGAATAGAGCAAAACAAATTGCTAAAAGATGAGTGAAACTATTTAATTTTTAATCTCTCCTAGTAATCTTAAATCCTTTCTTAAATCTTGCTTGGTTCAATTTTTAACCTCTTCTCTTCTAAACTATTTTGAGCTGTTATTGTCTTTGTGTTTGTGGTTTAGAGTTCTTTATTGAACTGATCTTGTCTGAAACATTAATACAATGACTGTTGGGCCGGAAGCTAGGAAGTTGCATAATTATTAGTATGGCACAATAAACCTTTGGTTGCAAAGTAACCAAAGTTATATTTTGAGAGTGTCCCTCAAGGTAGTTTCAGTAAGTACGATAAAATAAAGGGTTTGTTAGCAAACTAGTACGTTTTTGAAACATAATTATAAAAGTAGTACATTACTATTCATAATTAGGAAAATAGTACAATTTTACTATTTCAGGTATCTGTACATATAGACAACTGTACAACAACACATTATTGTACATAAAATATTTGTACAAAGAGAAACAACTACAAAAACACATATTTACACATAAACAAATATACATATATAGACAAGAAAAACATTTGTACACGTACAATTATACGTATATATAGACCGATGTACGGATGATTTTCCGTACAGCGACACACAACTGTACATAAGGATAGCTGGACGTATCAAAATTTGTTTGAAAAATATTATAAATTATTAGAATAAAATGCATATCAAATTATAGAGAAAAAAATGTAGATTTTTATGTAACTGAAATTTTATTAAAAACAAATTTATTTTGATTAATATTATAGTTATTAGATTTAAAGGGTTTTTTAATAGTGTCTAAATAGTGTCCAAATAGTAAAAATGTATTAGTTTGCTAATTATAAATAGTAAATGTACTACTTTTATAATTATGTTTCAAAAATGTACTAAAAATCCAATTAATCCTAAAATAAACTAGTAACTTTTACCTCAGTATTCTTTACAGAGTGGCTATGAATTGTCTCTGACTCTGTTTCTATTCTTCTTACAGTTTCAAACATACATCACTTCATTTTTTTTTAGTCATAGAACATTTGTCTCTTTGTTTTGTAATACTCATGATATACAAATTTCTCGCGCTACAGTAAACAAATTGCATTCTAAATTGCGGGAATAATATAAAAATGTGTATTCAATGATTTATCTGTATCATCCTTACAAAAACACACCTTACATCGCCGACAAAAAAAAAAAAAAAAAAAAAAAAAAAAAACACACCTTACATACAATTAATAGATAAGCCAAATCATGTTGGATTAAACAAAAATTACATGCCAAATTATTCTATATATATAACTATGATAATCTAACCTAATTATTGACTCTCTTAGTTTGAAATTGAATCTCTAATCCGTCGCGATCACCACGAGGACCCCCACCGGCAAAGAGCTTCTCCATATCCTCCAAGGGTACTCCTTTTGTCTCCGGCAACATAAAGAAGAAGAACCACCATGCCGCCACCGCTAGTCCAGCGAACACGAAGAACACACCGCCTGTCGTTATCGCCTTCGTCATCGATAGAAAACTCATTGAGACCGTCGCATTCATGATCCTATTAACCGCAACGCCTATGCTCGCTCCCTGTGCCCTAAGTCTCAACGGGAATATCTCGGAGCTGTACACCCACGTGATAGGTCCAAGCCCGATGGAGAAAAACGCTACAAATGCATACGTAGAGACGATGCTTAAACTCAATGCCCACGCTAACCTCCCAAATCGCTGAACCATCGTGAGACTAACCGCTAAACTTGTCAGAGCGAAGACCATCCCACCTGTGCTGGTTAATAGAAGCTTTCTCCGACCTACCTTGTCTAGCAAGAAAGTAGCTATTATTATGAAAAAGGCCTTAGTTAAACCTACACCGACCGTGGCTAATAAGAGCTTGTCTTTAGAAACTACTCCAGCTTTCTTGAATATTCTCGGACTGTACAACACGACAGCCTCGATCCCCGTGGCGTGCTCGAAAAAGTGTATCCCCACGGCCGCGATCAATATCAAACGCACGGCAGGTCGCGGTTTTATTACCAACTCCCTCCATACACTTTTGCCGTGAGTCTTCTTAACCCCACCGCCAACTTCTTTCACCGCTGTCTCCTCCTCTATTTCCGCCGCGATTAGAATATCTCTGAACCGTTCTTCGGCTTCTTCTTCCGTGTTGGATACCAAAGCCATTATTTTCTTTGCCTCTTCTAACCTACCTTGCATCACAAGCCACCTCGGAGACTCAGGCATTTTCGTAATCCCAAAAGCCAATACCAAAGAAGGGAAAGCCGCGATCCCAAGCATCAATCTCCATCCAAGCCTCAACGTCAGTTTCCCAAAACAGTAGTTGGAAACATAGCCAAGTAAAATCCCAAGACTAATACAAAGCTCGGGTAGAGAAGTGAGAAAGCCTCTATGTGAAGCAGAGGATATCTCGGCAGAGTAAACCGGAGCTATCATAAGAGCAAACCCTACACCAACCCCGGCTATACATCTTCCGACCATCAAAACAACGTAGTTTGGGCCGTAACCCATAAGAACAGAGCCCACTAAGAATATCACGGCGGAGAGAGCAATAGTATAACGTCGACCAATAACGTCGGACGTTTTTCCCGCCGTTAGTGATCCGACGAGAGCACAAAGATTCAAGATTCCGGCCAATACTTCGATCTGAGTGTCGTTTATTTTGAGATCCTCTCTTATAAATATCTGAGCTCCGCTCATAACTCCCGTATCTAAGGACAAAACACATTAAACAAAGTGAAAGTTAGATTCATTGATATAAAAAAAAAACATAATTATATTCAACTAAATAGTTATATTATATGTTATGTAGAAAAATGTTTACCATATCCAAAGATGATGGAGATGATGGAAGCAACGATGGCACAGCCGCAAGCAAATTTGTTCATATGAGTCGGGTTTGGTTTCAAACCGGGAGAAGTATGACCATCAGCATGAACCATGGTGAGTCTTTTTTTTTTTATTTTGGTGTGTTAGATATTCAAATAGCTAATTATATCGATTATGTAACTTTCATATAGTATATATACACATACACGGTCCACCACTTGGATCTTTTGTAGTGGAAAAGGACGATCAGAAACTTCCACTGTTCCACAATCTACAGTGTTCGAAGGTGCCCACGTATTCTGGTACGAGAGCTAGATTTTTCTTTACAATATATATAACATTTGATTTGGATGTATGTACCTGAGAAGTATATCCAAGAAACGTTTGAAAAGAATTCCAAAAAAATCACAACAAATTAATTAAAATGAAGTGGATAGGTAAAGAATTTAACCATAGATATGTGCATCGAATATTCGATCAGTACTTAAATGCAGTTTTTTAGGAGATGATAATATGCTACTTGTAAAACTGGTTATTATAGTTTTGCAAGTTATGCATGTAAATGTCATCATATATGTGAATTCATTCATTATAGTTACATATACTAGGATAAGATTATATCAAAAATAGTTGGTCATCAAATTTAATACGATAAGATCAAAAAATATTTCTAATACGATATATAAAAGTCGCAATCTTATTATTCACTTTCGGCATTTTCCTGATATATGTTGAATAGTGGCGTAACCTTTAAAGATTCTTTTCCACATTTATATAATTTGGTGAACTAAATATATACGGTGCATTTGTTTTGTTATTTCATTTGGTTTTTATCTTATATAGTTCTAAAATTAAACATGTTTGGTGAAAAATTCCTAGAGCACGTCATGCGTGGTATAAGTCGTCACCATTAAATCTCATGTACTTTAGAAAGACAATAACATATTTTAAAATTCATTTTCAGTTTATTCCAAAAAAAAAAAAAATTGAAAAATCAAGTTATGTATTTTTATTGAGACTTTAAAAGTTAAATTTAAAAACTATAAAATTCGTTGTGTATTTTTTTTAGATGTCTAAACTTGCGGAAAGTAAATATTTACACATACGATAGTAACTATTATTTAAAATATAAATAGAAAGTAATTATGGATAATCATTCATCTGGCATCTATATAATAGGCAAAAACGCTAACATTGGGGATTTGTATACAAGTATACATTAATTCTATAAATGCACAAACGTGACAAATCCCACGTAAAAAGTAAAAACTTTTGAGTTGATTCTTTGAAAGTTATATTTGGTGAGCTGAAAAAGAAAGATACGTGGCGAAAACATACTTTTTGATTTGATTTCTTGAACGAAAACATAGTTTTTGATTTGATTTCTTGAACATCATACTATAATATGAATAACTTAACTCAAACAACAACTAGGCAAATTGCAACTTTTTTTCCACCTTTTTAATAAATAGTGTTGAACCAAGGGTTCACACAATGAATTTATTAAGGAAAGGAGAATAAATTCACTTTAAACAATCTCTCAAGAACTCGAATTGAAACGGATTAAAAAGAATTGATTTAACATAGAAATGAACGATTTAGGGTTTGCTCAAGAACAAGTAAGGAACTAGGGTTTTTGTTATTAAATGATCGATGCCCTAGAATAGAGACATCTTCTCTATTTATACAAGTGATTTAGGGTTACAATAAATGCTCCTTTTCCTTAGATTTTCAGAAGATATTGTCATAAATATTCGATTAGGGTTTTCGAAACCCTAATGATCCGAGGTCGTCTATTCCATTTTAGGAATGAAGCACCCTTTGCATTAATTGGACAATAAACCGGGATTCCCTGACTTATTGGTTTAATTCGATTCCGTCTTGGTTTAGGCCGGTATGTCGTTGGTGCTAATTCCTACACCAACAATAAGTCCCCCCCAGTTCGATGGGTCAAATGTTCATTCGAATTATGGAACTCCTAATTATGCCTGACCTAAGTTAAGAGGGAAACGAATCAAATATATCCGAATCGTCGCCTATCTCGGAAACGTTGCCACGCGTCATTCATCTGTGGAGCGGCATGTAGGTCGGAAGTCGAAGCGTCGCCTAGGTCATCATTATTTTTTCGTAGGTCTGTCTCCCGCTCGTTTCTATAAATACTCGTTCAATGCCTTTCATTTTCCTCATTTCCGCTTTTCTGCTCAAAAGGTAAAATTTCGCTCTGCCCTCTCTCCTCTTTTTCTTTTAACTTAGCGCCGCCGACTTTAAATTCTGTACGAGATGTACAAAGGGATACATCTGTCTGTACGAGATGTACTTTACCCGCTGCCGCCTGCGGTTTCCTCTGCCCGAACTCTTGTCCCAATATACTCATCGCCGTAAACTGGCGATCTCTCAGCTCGCTCCGGCCAGTATTTGCAACATCGTCGGAGTACTGACCCTAGCATCTGAGGTCGGTACAAGGGTTCCCGTCATGTGCTTCGAGGAGATGACGGTATTGAAGAAATCCATGGTCGCCGGCAACTTCACCGTGAACATGAGGGAGAAACAGAACGTCATTCCCGGAACCCGAGTCAGCAATTTCAAAGGCTGGGAAAAACGTTTCTTTTATGTCCGAGCTGACTACCTCTCACTCGAAAATCCTTTTGTTGGCTTACGCCGACGATGGAATAGTGATCCGGGTACTTAATCTACGTTTCTGTTTTGAATCCCCTTATCGTTCTGACCTGACTTCTCCTCTTTTGTGCAGATCGCATCCGAAATTTTTCTACGTTCCCACCGGAGTACTCCGACATTGTGGCAAGCCTGTTTAGCGGGGAGAATCGAGCGTGGGACCAATTTAGCCGAAAGCGAGTTGAAGAAGCGATGGGAAGAATTCCGAGAAAGTATCCAAACTTCGCAGAGGAGCTGGCCAAATCATCAGGTACTTCGGTAACCGCCCTCCAGGCTCGGGATGCCGAGCTCGCTGCACCAACAACAACGGCTATGGAAGTCGCCGTAATTGAATCGGCTACCGGAGGAGAGGTCGCCCCTACTGATCCTTCGATCGTGGATCTGGAAGTCGATGGTGGTGGCGAGGGCGAGGTTCCCGGGCAGGAGGTCGTAACTGCCGAGCAAGAGGTCGCTCTGTCCGAAGGAGACACGGCCGGGAGGAAGAAAAAGAAGAAGAGAGTCGACAAAGGCAAGGGCGTGGCTCTGGATTCTGGCAACCAATCGAGCCGTAAGAGGTCGGCCGAAGCAGCTGATCTAGAGTCTTCTGATCCTTTCCGATTAACTCGGAAGGATTCGAAGACAGACAAATTCTGCTTTGACTACTTCGGAGAAAGCTCCGTGGCTGGCGATCGTTATGCCTCGGCAGAGTTATGCCGAAATTTAAAATTTTCTTCGGAAATTCTGCCCGATCTCGACGAGCTGGAGTTCAAGGAGGACTATCTGAACTATACTCGATCCGCGTTGCAGGTTTGTTTATCGCTCCTTTATATCTGTCCTTTATATTTTGTGCATATTTTAACACAGTTTTTGTCTTTTTTCTAGTCGATCGCCTATGGCAACGCTCTCTTCTTCAAATATGAAAAGAGGGTGAAGTCGCGCTCTACGGCGAATCACGCCTTCTTAATGATGGAGAAATGCGCCAAAGAGGCCCAGGACAAAGTGGCCATGCTGCGGAAGCAAGTGGGAGGCTTGGAGGAACATGCCAAGGTTCAAGAGGGAGTCGTTGCTTCCTTAGAGGATACAATTGCCGGCCTTCGGGCCGAGAATGCGACTCTTGCTGCGGAGAAGGCGAAAGCCGATGGCGACCTTCAGCTCCTTCAGCAATTCTGCGAATCCGAATGCTGGCAACTTCGCCTAGATCGGCAGGCTGTGGTTGAGCGCACGAGGAAGAAGGCCCAAGATCGCCTAGATCGGGTGAAGGCATTCCTGGCCGAGAAAGAGGTCACTGTTCGTCCGAAGGAAGACCTGCCGAACCAGGCTCTTGGGGTCGAGGCTACGATTGACAGGCTTGTCAAAGAGTGCCATGCTCAGATCCCCGAGGAGGAAATCGCCAAGATCAAGGCGAACAAAGTCGAGTGTAAGGAGGTTGCAGACGCGCTTGACTATCTTGTCCTCGACTCTGCTGACCTGAACATGTCTCCGGACCAGCTCGGCTACGGTCTTCTTCGGCCTGAGGATCCCGCTCCCAGATCTATCCGAGAGCCACATGGATCGAATGCGGCAGCCTTCCAGGCCGACCTTCGAGCTCCTGACACCAATGATGACCCTCCTTCAGACCCGGGCAATCCCGAAGATGACGTTGAAGTCGTCTAAAGCTCTCTTCTTTTTTTTTTGTTTGATTGACTCTTGAACTCGAATGGGCCGCCGGCCCTTTTGTAATATATTTTATTTTGAATTTCACTTCTCCGACAGCTTGCGCCTACTTCTTCCAAAAAGCGGAAGTATTACTTTTTTTTTTGTATTTCCCTTACCCGTAAAAGTGGAAATATGCTTCTTTTTTAGCTTGAAATTGGTGATTTTCCTATATAGTCTTGCCCCGACTGCCAGTTTTGCTCCAGTAAAAGGCGGGGGTGATAGGTATAAATAGGCTGCCTGAAACTTGCGTCCTCTTTTTCCTACAACTGGTGTCATGGAGAAATCTGGTTCGACTAAAAGCGATGGATCATCTCCGTCCGCCGGTGTTGATATGCCAACTTTCACTGAGAAAGAAGCTCTTGATCGTGGGATGCCCTTGTTCCCGACGTTAAGGGTTCCTAGGACTTTGATGTCGCGAGTTACTCGACAAGAGAAACTCCGGTTAGAGGAGTTCTTCCAGGCTGTGTATGATAAACATACGCAGTACTTCAAACAATTTCTCATTGTTGATGAGATTAGATCGGCCTTCGATCATAAGTTGAAACTGCTGGAATCTCACCCGAGAAACTGGATTCCCTTTGGGTTCGGGCGCATAGCTCCGATGCCGACAAGCCTTTACGCCTACTGCGAGCAATGTATGCGGGATGTTGAGGCTAACCGGAATGCACCGCCCATCATGGGGATCCCGCGATGCCTCGAATTTACACCGTCGGGTGTAAAGGCATTTCTCATAGGCACATTGGCCAGTAAACCCGAATTAGACGAGGCCGAGGCGTTTGTTAAGAAGGTATCGGTACCGTTCCGTTTATGCGGATGTTGGCATCATATTTGCGGGGGATTTAAACAACTGTCTTTTGTTTTTGTTAGGTCGGAGGCCTCTATCAAGAACAATGCAGGGATTTGCAATTCTTTCGCCTGAAGAAAAGAAGGATCGACCTCTGTTTGGACGCCAGGCTAAAATCGAAGAGAAGGAAAGCGATTCTCAGGCTCGACGAGGCGGAGCAGAAGGCTCGGGCGTTGGAGACGGATCCAACCGATTGGGAGCGAACTGGCATACAGCTGCTTTGGCCAATGCTGAGTCGCCTTCTGCATGACACGCGTCAGGTCGCCGCTACTGGGGCGAAGGGTCCGTTGATCGTGGACTAGGCGATTTATTTTATGATTTTACGCCGATGTAATTTTATTCTGTCGTAACACTATTGAACCGTTGCATCCGATTTCAAATAATACTAGCCGTGTTTCTAGGCGTTTTAATTTAAATGGGGATTTCATGACTCGGCGGGACGCTTCCCGGCTTACAAGTTCACGATTGGCCATAGTTAAATATATTCGGAGATATCTCTGGGCTCCGAAGTGAGGAATTTCTTTCCTCGACTAGAGTGTACTTTGTCGGAGGGCGAGATATATCTTTGGACTCGGCTTACCTCCTTTGGTGCCGGTTCGGATATGGGTTGCGAAAGATTGACTTCTCTGGGTCGGCTGACTGTCCCACCCGAACACGGGACCTTTAGGTGCGAAACATTAATCTCTGAGTTCGGCTTACGAGCGCCGACCACCTGGCCAGGGTGTCGGGGATGCATACATGTATTTATTTATTATATATATATATATATATATATATATATATATATATATATATATATTTTTTTTTTTTTTTTTTGACGAATGCTGCGAAAGAGTGATTTGACGGGTCGTCACTCTGAGCCATCTTGAGATTCGTGAACGCTTGGTCCCAATTGACATGGTGATGCGTGCCCCTTCAGTGTATGGTCATTCGGAAGAGGTTGGTTGGGAAATAGCTGGCATTTAATGCGGTTTCCGGCTATAAATATCCCGCTTTTGGTATCCATTTTATTATCACTCAGCGATTCCCTCAATGGCCGGATCTTCTAGAGGGGCTGCTAACGATCCCTTTCTCCGCGGAGGTCGCCGTCGGGTAGAACAACTTAATGAAGATGAGACCAAGGCGGAGGTTTACAAGGCCCGAATTTGCAGGCTAAGCATGCACATCCGGTCACTTTGGGAGCGTCAAAATCCTAAGGCCGACCTCGAACGATATCTCGGGGTTGAGGAGTTCATAGAGAAATCCGTTTTGGAGCATGGCCTCAACGATATCCTTCGAGAATGTGCGCTGTCATCGGGTCAGTTCTACTACCTACAATCCTCTCTTGAACGTATCAAAGTCTCGTGGCTTCGAGAAGGAGACCTTGATTCGTTTGATGGGCCTCTCGTTGCGAGCCGGATGCGTAGCGAAGAACTGGAGGGATATCGCGCTCGCATTGCTCGGTTGTGCGACTATATTGTCGCGTTCAATAGTGCGGCCGAAGTCGCTCATCAAAGGGTTCGTGCAGAAGGTGTTGAGAGTTTCCTTCTGCTGATGGTTTCTGAGGGGGTGCCGATCAGAAGAAAGATCCTCAAACTGGCGAGGCAGGCAAGTTCCTTCTGGGCCGAAGAGGAGGCGAAGTATCCTCTTCCGCAGTTGGACGACGGCGACACCGACCTGTTTCCCGAATTCGTCGATTTGGGGGGCTAAGTCGGTCGCTTTGGCTAGTGGCCATTATGAGCTTCTTCTTCTCCCTTTTTTATTAATGCTTTTTTTTGTTTTGGCTCAAGAGTGTATTTGCCCAAGAGTGTATTTGCCCAAGAGTGTATTCTGTTTGTAACAAACTTTATCAAATAAAACGGGATCGTTAACGACAATCGCGCGTTCACTATTATTTATTTTTTTGTTTGCTAGCTGCACCATGTATCATGGTTTCCTACGTACCTCTTTCGAGGATCAAGCCAATCGTAGTTCACAGTACATCAAATGAAAGACTCGGATTCCCGAGCGAGGCATCCATCTGCCTTTGTGGTCGGATTCCCGACCTAATAGTAGAACCTTTTGAGGTGGGCCGCGTTCCCGAAGTGTTGCACTCGCTTTCCTTCCATGGTCGATAGTTCATAGACGCCTGGGTGAACTCGCCGTGCGACGATATAGGGGCCCTCCCATTTTGCTCCGAGCTTCCCGGCGTTGAGCTCTTTGGTGTTTTCGAAAACTTCTCGCAGAACCAGGTCGCCCTCATTAAAACGGCGTTCCCGGACGGTCTTGTTATAATATTTTGCTGCCGAGTTCTGGTAGTTTTGTATACGGATCATTGCTTGATCTCGTAGTTCCTCACT